GGCGCGGCGCCGGCGCTCTTGGCGGGCCCGGCCAGGCTCTCGGCCGCGCGTTTGGCCTCTATTTCGGCCTCGCGCTGGCGCTGGCGCGCCGCGATCTCGTCCAGCTTGCGCTGCCTCTCCGCCGCCTGCTCCGACTTTGATGGGGAGAGAGGACCCCGACAGTGAGCAAACCGGGGTTGTGCCGGGGTGGCTGCAGACCCGGCACCGGGGCGCTGGCCGACGCAGCCTGGCTCCCAAGGCCCACCGCGGCTGGTCAGCGATGAGAGCAAGGTCCACACATCCCGCCTGCTCCCCGCCGTTTCCCCACAAACAAACAGGGAGTACCATCGTCGACACAGTCTGACCCACCCTTTCCCACCCACTAACCTCCCCCCCCACCCCCATCCACACCCACACACCTCTGCCTTGCGTCGCTCGGCCTCCAGCGCACGCGCGGTCTCCTCCTCGGCCTTGCGCTTCTCCTCGATCTGCAGGCGGCAGCGGCGCGCGTACTCGCGCCGGCGCGCGACGTCGCGCTCGCGCCGGCGCTCGGCGCGGCGTTCCTCGGCCGCGCGGCGCGCCGCGGCGCGCGCGGCCGCGAACTCCTCGGCGCGACGCGCCTGCACCTGCTCGGCAAAGGCCTCGCGGTCCTGCGCCAGGAGCGCCAGGCGAGCCTTCTCGGCGACGTCGGCCTCCCAGGCGGCGCGCGCGGCACGCGCCGCCTGCGCGGCCAGCTCGGCGGCGAGGTCGGCGTCCTCGGCCGCGCGCGCAGCCCAGGCGCGCTCCAGCAGCGGGGCCTCCTCCTCGCGCCGCGCGCGCTCCGCGTGGTCCAGCGACTTGGCCAGGCGCGCCAGGCGGCGCGCCAGCTCCGCCGCCGCCTTGGCCGCCTCGCTGCGCACCTCCTGCGTGATGGCCGCCGCGTCCAAGCGCTCGCCGTCGGCCACCTTGCGCCCCTTGGACGCCAGGAAGGTCTTCAGCTCCTCCTGCTCCCGCTCCTCCATCTCGCGCTGGATGCGCTCGGTCTCGCGCCGCGCGCGCTCCTGCGCCTTGCGCCGCTCCTCGGCCTCGCGCGCCGCGGCCTCCGCGGCGGCGCGCACCTCCTCCGCCGCGCGCTCGCGGTCCAGCGCCGCGGCCTCCGCCTCCTCCTTCCGCTTCTCGATCAGGCGCTTGCGCGACAGCGCTACGCGGTTGGCGTCCTCCGCGCAGGCCGCGGCGCGCACGGCGGCGGCGGCGCGCCGCTCCTCGCCCGCGCGCGCCACGCCCGCGTCCAGCCCCGCGCCGGGCGTGCCCAGCGCCGCGCCCAGCGCGCGCGCCAGGTCGGCCACGTGCCCGCGCACGTGCTCGCCCTCCAGCCCGCGCCCGCCAAAGTGCACGGTGCCGCGGCGGTGGTCGAAGCGCGCGGAGAAGTAGCCGGCGCGCACGCCCTCCACCACCAGGCGCTCTGCCGCGCCGTGCCCCAGCGCGGGCGCCAGCCGTGCCAGCTCCTCCACGCGCATGACGGAGTAGACGTGGGACAGCTGGCGCACAGTGTGCGCCAGCGCCACCTGCTGCAGGTAGGGCACGTACACACCCAGGTCCCAGTCGGCCACTGGGCCGGATGCGGGGGCGGGGGGGAGCGCGCCGGGCAGCGCCTCCAGCAGCGGCGCCAGGCGCGCGCAGAGCGCCAGCGGGTCAAAGTCGCCCTCCAGCACCTCGTGGATGCGCGCGACCACGGGCGGCGCGGCGGCCAGCAGGCCGCGCCGCTCCGCGTCGGCCAGCAACGCGGCGCGCGACAGCGCGCCGCCCCCGCCCCGCGCGTCGGCGGGGAAGCCCAGCACCGCCGCCATGCGCGCCGCGCGCTCCGCGTCCAGGCCGGTGGGCGCCGCGGGGGCGCCGTCGGGGGGGGCCATGGCTCCCGCACCGGACACGCCGGCCCCGGCCTCGTCGTAGGGCATGACCGCCAGCGCGGATAGCACGACGTTGGCGGCCAGCGCGGCGGCGTCCTCGGGCGCCGCCAGGCGCCCGTGCGCGCGCGAGAAGGCGGCCAGGCGCGCCCAGGCCGCAGCGTTGTACAGTCGCGCGCCGGAGCGGGTGAAGATCTGGGTCAGGCGCGCGTAGTAGGTGGCCATGCGCGCGGCGCGGGGGCGGGCCGCGCCCTTGGGTGCCAGCGCCAGCAGGCCCTGGATGTCCTCCACGCTGCGGAAGGCCTCGGCCCACAGCTCCAGCTCGCAGGCGGCGCGCAGCTGCTCGAAACGCATGTCCATGTACAGCTCCCAGGAAGTGGAATTGGACAGGTCGGTGCGGTGCTGCTGGCCCTGGTCGCGGTACCTGGGTTGTCAGGGGGTGGTGTGTGTGTGTGTGTTTGTGGGTGTGCCGGTACATGGGGGAGGTTGGTATCAGGCAGGCGCTGGCACACAACATCTCGTCCCGGCGGGGCACGCTCTGCGCCCCACTCCCAACGCTTACCTTCCCCAAACTCTTCCCCCACCCCCCACCCCCAAGCACTCCCACTCTGTCTCACTTGAGCAGGTTGGACAGGTGGTTGCGCAGGATGTCGCACAGGCGCCGGAACTCGGTGGAGCGCTTGTGTGTCAGGCAGAAGGCAAAGGCGCGGTCCGCGCCCGAGGCGTAGAGCGCCTCCAGCCGCGAGTTGTTGCGCAGCACGTCCAGCACGTTGCGGTAGGTCTCCCACAGGAACTTGAACCAGGGCGTGACCAGTTCGCGGTCCGTGCGGTCCGCCGACTTCTCGCCCGACACGTAGCTCAGCATCATCTCCTCGGGCGAGGCATCCGCCTCCAGGTCGGCAATGTCCTCCAGCTTGGCCTGGGAATGGGAGGGAGGGGTAGGTGCCTTTATGGAAAGGGTTGCTGAATTGAGACATGCATTGGAACGGCAGGAGCAACAGCTTGGAGCAGGGGAGGCCAGGATCTTGCACTCGGCATTGCAGTCCCCCGCCTTCCACACATCGACCCCACCGCTACCCCCCTGCCCCCCACCCCACCCCACACAGCCCCTCACCTGTGCGGCCTGCTGTGCCTGTTCGGCCCGGGCGCTGGCGGTGGTGATGAGGTGGTCGATGACCAGCTCCAGGGACCCCACGTTCATGCCCTGCACCGTGTTGCGGTAGTTGATCAGCGCATCCTTGCACTTGCGCCCCGACTTGGTCTCCACGCACAGGTCGATGTGCTTGAGCATGACCTGATGATGGGAGGAGGTTGAAGGAGGGGGGCGGTGGTGAGACCTTGGAAGGCATCCCCAGAATGAGCACCAAAGCTGGGAGTTCCAACTTCGGCGGGGTCCATTAGACGACGGAGTCTCAACATAATATCCCAGCCCTTCATGAGATGCTGAAAAGCCAGCCACACAGAGGGCTTCCCACATCAGAAGACCGGTGGCCCGACCCGGAGCCACCCTTCTCGGGCCACACCTGCTCCAGCGCCGTGTTCCAGTTGCGCTGGTGGCGCTTATTGGTGAGCGTATCATGCAGAGTTTGGAGGGCATTCTGCTTCTGGCCGACCTGCGGGGATTGGGAATGACGACGGGGGGGGGGCACGCTCATCACCGGTTGCGACGCGAGTCCAGGGCGCTCCGAGGGGCGATCCAATGCCCGCCCATACGTCCTGCATCCCCAAAACAGGCCATTCCATTGCCTCTGAGCGATCATCCCGCTCCATGGGCCTCGACTCACCCCGATCAGTTCCTCAGCACGCTTCAGACTATTCTCAGGTTTCAGGGAGACCCCGCCCCCACCGCGGAAGCGGTTCGCCATCCTGCCTGATGCTGCCTCCGGACTGGGGAGAGGGTGCGTGTGTTTCTGTCCAGGGGCGAGGGTGCGGGGGGCCCCAAGTGCCTGCCTGGATTGAGGCGGCCTCAGTTTTGGCGGGTTGGAGCGCGCATTTCGATTCCGCGACACCCTCTCATGCAGCACCAGCAGTGGCACCGGGATGTGGCCGGGGACAGACGCGATATCGCGCTTGGAAATCGGAGCAATGTACCATTGTATAGGTTTGGCGCCCATCTAGTTTCACAAGTGCGCTTGAAGGCGACTTGTGGACCCCTTTTCCGAGAACCCTTGTTGGCTTTCCACCGATTTCTACTGGTGGCAAAGGTCTTGCACACCACCATGCTCGGGGGACAAAACTATAAAATGCTCTGATGCCGGGGCATGAAGTACCTGCCCTTCCCTGACCATCCTGGGAGCCCACCCACTTGGGTGACAATGCAGGCCAAACGCTCAGCAGGGAGCTTGCTGGTGAAACTTCCTCATGCAACCTTTCTAGCCTAGGCTAGTGACCAGGCTCAGGCTTCGTCCCAGCGTCCATCTCCGGAATGGCGACGCCCGTCCCCTCGCAGCCGCCGCACCCGCAGCAGCTGCCGCAGCCCCATCCGCCGGCGCCACCCCCCCAGCGCGGCCCCGCCCCCACTCCCCTGGTGGACGCCCTGCATGCGCGGGGCCAGCTGCGACACGAGCTTGCCCTCCACATCCCCGGCCACAAGGTGTGCTTTGGTTTGTGTAGGAGGGGGAATGCAGCGCATGTAAGGCGGTGAAGAGGGGAGCGATGTGTTGGGCAGAGGTCCACTGCCTCAGGCCGGACAGGCCGACACGGCGAGGCTGGCCTGGGCCGGCCAGCGCCTATCGTTCCCACTGCCACCCTCCTTCCAGGCCTCTCCCCCGCAGCACCACCCCAATCCTCCGCTTTCAAACCTCATGCAGCGCGGGCGGGGCACCCCGCCGGCCCTCCGGCGCCTGGTCCCTGCCTCGGCGCTCGCGTTTGACGTGACCGAGCTGGCCGGCCTGGACGTGCTTTCCTGCGCCTCCGGCCCCATCGCGGAAGCTCAAAGGTTGGCAGCGGCGCTGTGGCGTGCCGACGCCACGCGCTTCCTGGTCTCCGGCAGCACCGGCGGCGTGCTGGCGGCGGTGCTGGGCACCTGCGCCGCCGGGGACACGCTGCTGCTGGCCCGCAACGCGCACCAGAGCGCGCTGGCGGGCGCGGCGCTGGCGGGGGCCACCCCCGCCTGGCTCGCGCCGAGGCTGGACGCGGCGCTGGGCGTGGCGGGGGCGGTCACCCCCGCCGAGCTGGACCGGGCCGTCCGGCTGGCCCTCGCGCGCGGCGCCCGCCCCGCGGCCGCGCTCGTCGTCTCGCCCACCTACTTTGGCGAGCTGGGCGACGTGGCGGGGCTGGCGGCCGTGGCCCATGCCCACGGCCTGCCGCTGCTGGTGGACGAGGCGCACGGCGCGCACCTGGGCCTGCACCCCTCCTTCCCAGCCTCGGCGCTGGCCTGCGGCGCGGACGTGGTCGTCCAGTCCACGCACAAGACGCTGGGGGCGCTGACGCAGGCGGCCGTGCTGCACGTGCGTGGCGGCAGGGTGGACCTCGACCGGCTGGACCAGGCCTTGCAGGTGTGGGGGGGCGGGGGGGCGAGAGATCTCGGGGAGGGGTGAGAGGGTAGGAGCGGGGACAGGGCCGAGAGGGTGGCTGGGTGACGGGACCTGGAGCACCGTCCTTGACTCGGGCCAGGCCCCCAAAGACCCATCCAACCCCCTGTCACTGCGAACCCGCGCGGCACCCCCGCAGATGGTGCAGAGCTCCAGCCCCAGCTACCTGCTGATGGCGTCGCTGGACGCCGCGCGCGCACAGGCCAGCGACCCCGCCGCGTTCGAGCCGTGCCTGGCCGCCGCGGCGGCGGCGCGCGCGGGCGCGGGCCGCGTCCCCGGGGTCGCGGCCCTGACGCCCCCGCCTGCCCGCGCCGACCCGCTGCGTCTGACCCTGGGCGTGGAGGCCCTGGGCCTGGATGGACCTGCAGCTGCCGCCTGGCTGGAGGCCGAGGCCGGCGTCGTGCTGGAGATGAGCACGCCCCGCGCCGTGGTGGCCGCTTTCGGCATCGGCAGCGCCGCGGGCGACGGCGACGCGCTCGTGGAGGGGCTGTGGGCGCTGTCGCGCGCGCGCTGGGACCCAGGAAGAGCGGCGAGGTGTGCTGCCGGCACGGGTCCCTCCGAGCCCAGCCTGACCCCGCCGCCGCTGCCAGAGGTGGTGCTGGCGCCGCGTGAGGCGCTGGCGCGCCGCACCACCGCCGTGCCCCTCGTCGCGTCCCTAGGCAGGGTGGCGGCCGAGGCGGTGTGCCCCTACCCCCCGGGCATCCCGGTGCTGGTGCCGGGGGAGAGGGTGGACAGGGCCACGCTGCGCGCGCTGCGCGACGCCGCGGCCGCCGGGCGCCGGGTCACCGGGTGCGCCGACGCCTCGCTCCGCACCCTCAGGGTCGTGGAGGAGGGGTGAGGTGGGAGTGCATTGTGTGGCGACGTGGCTGCCCCAGCCCGGGAGCGACTGCAGTGGGCGCTCCATTGGCATCGTATGTTTGTACCGAGCCACTCACTGCTCCTCCATGCCGTCGACCATGTGTCACGCTCAGACAGCTGCAGCGGGGCCAGGCTCGGGCTTGATCCGGCTCGCTGTTTACTCACCTGCCTCTCCCATCGGCTCAGCTCCTGCTGTCACACCCTGGGTCCCACCCCAGACCCTGGCTCGCAGACCTACACGCTCATGTACGACATGGGTGAAGCAATGCAATGGGGCCCCGGCACCGCACGTCACAGCCGCTTCAGGCTCCGCTTCTTCTCCGGCGCCGCCTTTCGTACCCCTGGGGCCGCCGAGAGGCTGCGCGGGGCGGGCTTTCCTGCATCATCCCCACAGCCCTCTGCGTTCACGGTGTTTGCCCCGCCTGTCGCCGTCAGCGGCGTTTGCCTGGGCATGTCGGGGGGGGGAGGGATGGTGGGCGCTTGCCTCGAGGCTACTTTGCGGCTTGAGCGCCGTTGCTCGGCGCGTTGAGCTGTGGGTGAGCGAAGCCCCGAGTCGGACTCCTCATCAATGCACCTCCTGTGGTCTGCTGGACCGACTCACACCAGAAATCCGTCCGATCATCCACATGTGCACTGCTGCAGAGCATCCGGTGCGCACATCGGCGCGAATTATCTGATCATAAGATCGCCCTCTGCGGCTCGCATGCGCCCGTAGCGGCGCCCAGCCCCTCCTCCACCTGCCTCCTGGCACCTCCCCGCGCCCGCCCACCTCGTGGCGTGTACGCTGGTGATGAGCGCGGCCTTCCGCGCAAACTCGGGGAAGCCCTCCAGCAGGAGGCGCCCGGCCTCCTCGTTCAGCGCCGACTCGGGGTTGGGCTCCACCAGCAGGCAGCGGATGACGGTCAGGATGTGCCTCAGGCCCAGGTCCGGTGTCCAGTCCCGCTTCAGGGTGTTGACGCAGATGTCGCCGGAGGTGGAGACGTTGGGGTGGAAGATGCGGGTCAGGAAGTAGCCTGTGTGTGTTGAGGGGGAAGGAGAGGTGATGGGTGCTTGAGTCGGTGACAGACTGCCCGCAGAGCTGGAGGGCGCGAGCCAGTGGGCGCTGCGCATGTTGGGCTCCAGACCGATTTTTGAGGGCATGCGCTCGGAAACTAATGTACGGTGCCGGGTGTGGTCACAAGAAAGGCATCGGCATCGCCGCCATGCCGTTGAGGGGCGGTCTCGGTGGGCAGCAAAGCTCCACCCAGCTTCCCGACGACCAACAGTCCCCAAAGTTCCGGGGCCCTCACCTTTCGGGGCTGCAGTTGGAAAATCCTGGGGGAACACCAGTTTCATGCGGAAGGTTCCGCCCTCAAATGGTGTTCCCGCTGCGAAAGAAGTGTGTAGGGCTGGTTTCATGCAGCGGCTGGAGGCGTTCGGCATGTCAATTACGGCAAGCAACTGAGGCCATCACTTTCCACCCCATGGCCAGATACCAACCAAAATCTCCCCACCCCCTTCTCCTTGACCAAGCCACACCTGGGCCTACATACTCTGCCTGTATGTCGGACACGTCGTCCTCGTTCAGAAACACCTGTGCTCGATGGAAGTCGCGTATGCACCTTAAGGAAGCATGCCCAGCTAATGTATGTTCATGCCCGTCCCGGGACCCGCTTGTCCGTGCCCCTCATACCTTGACACCATCGATGGGGTTGGCCTGCAGGTCTCGATACTCCTTGAGCAGCTTTGTGACAGCAGCGGGGGCCAGGCTCATCGTCTGGTTTGAATGACGCGCCCCTTCCACCCTTCCCAAAACCAGCTGGTTGCAATTCCGTCTCCGACGACAGCAGCAAGGAGGGTCTGTCTCGATCCTACCTACTTGTGATTGTAGGCTTTATTATTGTATAAATGTTTTGCAAGGATTGACGTGCATGCACAGTAAGGAGTTTGAAACTTTTGCAGCTATGCAGAGGCTGTTTGAAAGTGCAGGGACCTTTCATGACCTGGATAGAAACCAAGGCCGCTCCGCGATGATGGGGGTCCCATGCACTGAACGACCACAGCACCACCGTCGCACACTGACCCTGATCATCCGAGGATTATGCACACTTGACCTCTGTTGAGCTTCCCTCTCATCGCTGCCGTCTGCCCACCTCTGAGCAGCCTCGGGACCTCGCATGGCCAGCGCTTCGGCGTGCACCGCACGGACCCCCGTGGTCCCCTGCCGGGCGGCATGGCAGCCCAGCAGTCGCCGTTCGCGCTGCGACTTTGGTAGCCGGCCTGCCTCGCGTCCCAGGCAGCGCGCATCCCGGTCCTCGTCCCTGCTGGTCTCCGCCAGTCAGCCCCTCATGACCCCCCGGTGCGTGCAACCCCCTTGGGGTGGTCTGGAATGCTATCATGCTGCACCTCACCGCTTTAAAGTAGCCATATGGGATTCCAGATTGGTAGCTCTGGTCATATACGTGGCTCCGGCCAACATGCCTGGCCACAGGGATCCTCCTGATAGGGGGTGGTCCCGCACCCCCTCTCCCTCCCGGTCCCCATCGCGGAGATCCTCCCCCCCCACCTCCCTGCGTGCAGGACACAGGACATGGCGGGGGACCCCTTCGGCCTGCTCCTGCGCCAGCGCATCATCTTCCTGGGCGGCGAGGTCACCGATTTCGCCGCGGACGCCATCGTGAGCCAGCTGCTGCTGCTGGACGCGCAGGACGCGACGCGCGACATCAAGCTCTTCATCAACTCCCCCGGCGGCTCCGTGACGGCGGGCATGGGCATCTACGACGCCATGCAGCTTTGCCGTGCCGACATCCAGACCTACTGCTTCGGCCTGGCCGCCTCCATGGGCGCCTTCCTGCTCTGCACGGGGGCCAAGGGCAAGCGCTACTCCATGCCCAACGCCCGCATCATGATCCATCAGCCCCTGGGCGGCGCCAGCGGCCAGGCGGTGGACATCGAGATCCAGGTGCGCTGCCGTGGCGTTGAGATTTTCTTTTGTGCTTTGGTGTGTGGAAGGAGGAAGAGAGCTCGGCTCTGGGTTAGAGCTGGGTGGTCTAGGCTTCAAGTGCTGCAGGGTGCGTGGTGAGAGATGGGCAATGCTTGTGTCTCTCCATGCCCTTGCCATGCCTACACCATGTGGCCCCTCCCCACCCCCGCCCACCCTTACAACCCGTAGGCCAAGGAGATCATGTACCACAAGGCCAACCTGAACCGCATCATGTCGGATGCCACGGGGCAGCCCATCGAGACAATCGAGGAGGACACCGACCGAGATCGCTACATGTCTCCCCTGGAGGCCAAGAACTACGGCCTCATCGACCACATCGTGGGAGGGGAGGAGGTGGGTCCGAGAGTGTGGGGGTGAGGAGGGATGCCTTGCTGTGCATATACAAAGGGATAGCCTGGAGCACCATAGGCGGAACGGTGGCCTGCTGGCTGATCTACCCGCCCCCCTTCCACTGCCGCAGGCGGTGTTCAAGATCGTGGGCAACACCAAGAACTTCCCCAAGACGCGGCGGGAGTACATCGCGTGGGGCGACGAGGACAACGACGGCTCGCGGTCTGAGCGCTTCCTGCGCCCCGCCGAGCCCTACACCCAGCCCGTAAAAACCAAGGAGTGATGGCCAGGGAGCAGTTTTAGAGCACCGCAAGGGCTGGGCCTGTGTGGCAAGTCACTCGGCCCCTCGCTCCCCTGTGTGTGAGGGTTGTCCCTTTGCCTTGGAGCCCCTTCCTGTGCCTCTGTACATGCCTGAAGCATAGCCTCGGCAGGACTTGCCTTACTGAAGTCATCGACTCAAGCTGGAAGCATCATCTTGTTGACAAGATCTGTGTGGGAAGGGTATAATCAGGCGACGCGCCCCTCGCAACCCCTCCAGAGGTTGAGGCCTGAGATTGGGCGGGAAAGCAGGGAGTGACCTGTCGGCTCCGGCCCCCACCCGAGCGCCGAATGCTTATGGTCGGTGCAGGAACACATGCATGCAAACAAGCGAACGACCACAGCGTCGTCCCACTATATTCTAAGGACCAGGCGCTGTTCATCAGTGACTGCCCGGCTGGGAAGTGCTGCACACCCGTACACAGCGCAATGGCTTTCGGCGATAGAGGCGGGCGTGGAGGCAGGGGTGGGCGCAGCCCCGGAGGCCGCGGAGGAGGTGCGAGAGGTGATTGCATATGGTACTCGTCCGGCCCGGCCTTGCCATGGATCGCTGACTCTTCCCCGTTTGCCCGCGCGCCGGCGTGCTTTGCAACTGGGGATGCTCGGCCCACCGCCATCCCTGCTGTATTGTGGTTTCCTCACAACATTACTGTCCCTTCGTGGATGTCAACAACAACCCACCGGGTTGTTGCGCTGTGCGCGACACGGAATTTCTGCATCGCAAGCCCCTCCCACCAACCTCCTCTCACCCCTGCCCTCTGTCCCAGGTCGCTTCGGCCCCCCCGGAGGCCGGGGCGGCGGTCGCGGCGCCCCACGCGGCGGCCGCGGCGGTGTGTCTAAGTTCGGAGGCGGCGGTCGTGGCGCCGGCGGGCGCGGCGGGCGCGGCGGCCGTGGCGGCCGCGGCATGGCCGGCGGCGCCAAGGTGGTTGTCGAGCCCCACAGGCATGCGGGCGTCTTCATCGCGCGCGGCAAGGAGGACGCGCTGGTGACCAAGAACATGGTGCCCGGCGAGTCGGTGTACGGCGAGAAACGCATCTCCGTCGAGGTGGTGAGTTGGTTGGGTGGTGTGTAGTGTGTGTGCGCGGTGAATCAAGGGGCTGTCAGGGCCGGGAGCGGGGATTCTCCTCTCACCATATGCTAATCAGTGGTCACAGATGGCTGTTGACCGGCTCACACTCCATATCTTTGTCACCGACACACCCACACCCAAACACTGTACCCCCTCCCCTCCCTCCCCCCTTGCCCTTAACAGGAGGCCGGAGAGAAGACAGAGTACCGCGTGTGGAACCCCTTCCGCTCCAAGCTGGCCGCCGCCGTGCTGGCGGGCGTGGACAACATCCACATCCGCCCCGGCGCGCGCGTGCTGTACCTGGGCGCGGCCTCGGGCACCTCTGTCTCGCACGTCTCCGACATCGTGGGCCCCGAAGGCGTGGTCTACGCCGTGGAGTTCTCCCACCGCTCCGGCCGCGACCTGGTCAACATGGCCAAGAAGCGGCCCAACGTGGTGCCCATCATTGAGGACGCGCGCCACCCGCAGAAGTATCGCATGCTGGTGCCCATGGTGGACACCGTGTTTGCCGACGTCGCGCAGCCCGACCAGGTGGGCGGCTGGATGGGGGTTGGCGGTGCAGTGACTGGGAGGCCGCTGCGTGGAGGGTGGGGGAGGGGTTGTTTCAGGGGTTACTGCCTGATGGACTGCACGGTGTTGACATGCAAAGCCTGCATCAATCCACCCAGTCTCCTAAATGCGCCAGCAGCCTGCGGTACTCTGACCTGGCAACATGGTACTGCCACCCCTACCCTCACGACAACACGAAAGCCAAGCCCTCCTCCGCACATTCTCAACCCCCTTCCCCCCGACCCTACTCCCGCACAGGCCCGTATCGTGGGCCTGAACTCCCAGTACTTCTTGAAAAACGGGGGCAACTTTGTCATCTCCATCAAGGCGTCCTGCATCGACTCCACCGCGCCCCCCGAGGCCGTGTTTGCGCGCGAGGTCAAGAAGCTGCAGGAGCAGCAACTCAAGCCCAAGGAGCAGGTGCGCAAGGGTCGGGACGGGGGGCGCCCCTGGCGCGTGGCGGCCCGCGGCTGGGCAACCGGGCGGGCAGGGGGGCTGGGTGACGAAACCTTACACACGCTGACGCGGCCGAGCACGCCGGGACGGGCGCGGCCGCCGGGCGGGGGCCCTGAGCCGCCCGCCCCGTGCGCGCCGTTTGGCCCGGCCCGGCGCGGCCGCACGTGGACCTTCTTCCATGACTCCGACAGCCCCCCTGACGACCGGCAAGCGCCCTGCTTCCCCCTGGGGCGGACAGGCCCAGGGTTCACTGAGCACGCATGCCCCCATCGCCCACACCCCCCCACCTCCCCTGCCACCTTTCCCGCTGCAGGTCACCCTGGAGCCGTACGAGCGCGACCACGCCGTCGTTGTGGGCGTATACCGCGCCTCCAAGAAGAAGGACGCGTGAGCTCTGCCATGCACCACCGAGGCCCCCGGCGGGGCGCTTGGCGCAAGACGGCAGGAGAGGGGGGGTGCGGAGGGCACCCAGCCCTGCGCCGACCGCTCACCCCACCCCCATGCCAGCACCCTCGCCGGCCGGACCGTGTACATGATGACGAATTCGCTTTCCTTTCCCTCCCCCTCCCCCTCTGCTCCGTGCTGACACAAGATACCCGGGGTTTGTAACTCGGGGAAAAGGCAGACGGGCAAGCTGCAGCGCAGGACACGGTGGTGAGGCCCTCCGCAGCTGGGCGTCCGGCGCGAGGGGGGCCTGCCCGCTCGCCCGAGGGGCAAGATGAGCAGGGGCCCTGGGGCGCGCCCTGCTGCTTGGAGCTGAGGCAGGAGCAGGGTGCTTGACGCCGGGACAGGAGCAGGGTGCTTGACGCTGAGGCAGGAGCAGGGTGCTTGGAGCTGAGGCGGGAACAGCGCATGCGGGGGCCAACACCTGGGTCCGCTCGGCGCGCAGGCGGGGCACCACTGCGGGGTCACCCGCAGCACAGACCGGGGTTGGGGCACGGGGTCGGTGGTGGCACTGGCCCACCTCCTCCACGGGGACCAGCACAGCGTAGACGCAAGCCGTCCCTCGAGCCTGCCGCCCCCTCCCTTCAGGGCCAGCGTGCCTCAGACCAGCCCTCAATCCCGGCGGTCGCCCAGCAGTCGCAGAATGTAGAGGAAGAGGTTGAGCACGTCCAGGTAGATCATGACGCTGGCCCAGATGTACTCGTCCAGGCCCACGCGCTGGATGAGGAGCTGGGTGTCGAACACGAGGTAGGCGGAGAAGAGGAGGGCGCCGAGGAGGGAGAAGATGGTGCGCGCCACGGGGCCCGGGTGGAAGAAGATCTGGAACAGGCCCCAGGCCAGCATGGCCCAGAGCAGGCCCGCCAGGAGCGGGCCCACCGGCGAAAAGTCCACGCCCCGCGCCGTGGCCCAGAAGGAGTACGCGGTGAGCGCGGCCACCACGGTGGTGGTCAGCGCCAGCGCCTCCAGCACGATGGCGGGCTCGTAGAAGGAGCAGGCCACGCCTACCGTGGTGGCCATGGTCAGCGTCCAGAGGCCCAGCAGGGCCAGGTTCAGGGGGTGGCGGTCCTTGTAGATGAAGAGCGGGATGAGGGCCAGCAGGCTCAGCACCATCAGCCCGATGTTGGCGGCCAGGGACCGCGCCAGGAAGGCGTTAACGGAGGGCACCAACGTCACCACCAGCGCCACGGCGGCAGTCAGTGCCAGCTGGATGGTCACGATGCCGTACACCTGCACAGGCGCGGGGGGGCGGAGGACATGGGGTGTGTGGCGGGAGGATGTGTAATCTGTGGGTATGACGGGGGGGTTGGGGGCTTGGGGGGCCCAGGCCAATCACCGGGCCAGGGAGCCGCCCCAGGACGCCTGTGCACCACCAGGCTCGGCAGGCGGAGGCTGAAGGCCGACATGGCACAGCCCACCGCCACCCACCTTTCGTACGAATCCCCAGCGCAGGGAGTTGTCGGTGGCATCGATGCCGGGGTACAGCAGGCCGCCCCCGCTCTCCAGGTCGTCCCCATACTGCGGTGGCGGTGGGGGTGGACCTCTGGCGACTGCAATCATGTTTTGAGATTGAAAGGTAGTCACTGCAGCCCCACATCGGCTCACCTTTGCGCCGGAGTTGGACCAGGCGTCCAGGACGCCCATGCTGGGTCCCGGGTGTCCCGTGTACACCGGAAGATCACTCTAGAGACACGGGGTGAAGAGACAACCGATAGCGGACTGTCGCTCCCTCCGCAGGTTTAAGTGCAGGTCTATAATGTACATTTCTCGTGACACCCGACGTCTTGCTGCGGTGCGCCGGTCGTCATCACTTTGTAAAAACTAGCGACCTTAGTAGTATTGGAAAGCAGGGAGGCGATGCTCAAACTGGGCGAGATGCTTGTGGTCACTCTGACGACTTCCCTCGGCCATGCCGCAAGTTCAACGATCACAGTGAGATACATCTTGCATTTGGGAGGTACACCAGGTGGTAGAGCACAAAGACACGCACCCTCGTTACTCTCATCAAGGCCGGCACCAGCAGCTAACCACTCGCACTTGCACTCGCACTTGCACTCGCACTGGCAAGACTAATCCTGCTGGCCAAGCATTCTAATGGAGACTCAAGCCGAAATCATGGACATCGATGCCCAGCTGGATGCGCTCGTGGAGGTGATGCGACTTGCCGTGCCGGGGTTGGGCGGGCTCGGCTTGTCGAGATGTACAGCAAGCACGGGCGATCGGGCAATATTGAGCATCCTCACCGTCATGTAATGTTGTTTCAATGTCAAGTAGCTCGTGTGGAGTTGAAATCTGTGATGCCTCCCATTGTTAACTATTCACAGGAGCTTGGGCCCGGAGATGACGACAGCCAGTTTCCGGTGAGTAGATGCTCATGAGAACATCATATTTCGTTGTCGAATGGGATCTCAACCTCGTGCCGCCCTGCGCAGGAAGGTACCCTAAAGGTAGAGAAAAACGCTGGGGCAGGAAAGGAGTTCCCGGTGGGAGAGCTCGGTGGAACGGGATCTGCAACTTCCGACGGCGTCCACGAGCCGGGCATGGACGCAGGGGTCGATCTGAACAAAGATCATGGAGAGCCACCACGAGACGCTGCGCCACCCCTCGAGCCGTCCTTGACGGTAAGCTTGCTATTACTCATTGACAGGCCCACTGCCACGACAGACACATGTCCTATATCATGCTTGTTCCCGGGCGCTGATGCCCTGAACGCCTGTCATCCTACAGGAGACCATGCGGCAGCCAAAGCCGGCCAAAAAGCCCGCTTTTGGGAAGCCCATCCTGCTGGCCAAGAAGACACCGGTACGATAATGAGAGAAATGCAAAATGTGCCAATCTACCTAGTTGGATGTTCCTGTACCGATATACCACTGCCAAAACCTGCTTGCACATCTCGTCCCATCTCTTATCCAGTTTAATGGTGTGGATACAACAGCTGCGCCGAGCCCCACCGAGGAGCCTGAGCCGTTAAGGGAGGTCAACTCAGGTGGCGACATGCCTCCACCCCCTCGGCGCGAGCCGCTCGTGAACAAGAAGCGCATCCTGGCCAGGGCTGCACCAGCCTCCCGCTCCGTCACAGGTACGTGTGCGGGCTGATGGCTCATAACAAAATCCAGCAGGGGTGGGCTGAGGCCCGCAGCGGCCCCTGGTGCCCTGTTCACAAGACCTGTCTGGCCCTGACATCGCAGGCACAGACGCAACGGCAGGGGGACTGGCCTCGCCTAATGAGAAGGTTCTGGTAAGTCAGCATCAATTCTGCATTTTTTTCATGGAATTGCTCGGAGCCAAGGAGCGCAGTGAGTGTAGAGTATGTCCCCAGTCCTCTCAAGCAATTGACGGCATCACCTTCATGTCTGCAGGGCTCGGCAGCCGACAAAGCTGGCAAGCATGCAGCGAGCACAGGGTCATCACACAAGGTGGTCAAGACTGCGTACCAGGTGCGAAAGAAAGACTGATGCAGCTCACTTCACAAGAGACATAGCCTTCTGCACATGCAGAGACCTTGCATCCTTGGTTTCTCTCCAGAGAATTGTGACGCGCACAAGGCATTGCCAGCCTCAACATGCTACGTCCTGGGCCAGCAGCACAGCAATGCAGTTTCTCTGTGCCCCATCCACCTTTCCCCCAGCTGTTCTGTGAGGAGCTGCGCCCCACTCTGGTGGCCGAAAACCCCAAGGCCTCGATGCCCGAGCTCTCCCGTCTGCTCGCATCAGCCTGGCGGGCGACGAGCGTGGAGGACAAGGCTGCCTATGCTGCCATGCGTGCGGTGAGTGCCTGCAGGGATGCTGAGAGGATATGCGGCTGCGCATGTCATTAAATTTGGAAGACCATGACTGCTGTGCAGATGCTGCTTTACCCATGCCACGCCCATTGACTGCCATTGCCATGCAAACACCATGCTCAGGACCTGATGGCAGCTGCCGGTGATCCGGCGATCTCTGGGATCCCGGCAACCGCCGAGGGCAGGAAGGAGCCGAAGAAGAGAGTCCGATCTGAGGGAGGCAAACAGGCTTCCAAAACCAAGGGTGGGTGTGCATCCTCTCAAGCTTGCATTTGCTTTGGCGATACCTGTGGCTGCTGGTATTTATCCAGACGCACACCACTCGTCACCTGCCCTTCGGGCACTCACGCAGATGAGGCTGCATCTGATGGGGAGAGCGAGAAACCCTGCCCTCCACCGAGCAGCAAAAGGTTGAGGGCGGCGGCTGCAACAGAGGCGCACGACAGCGGTGAAGAAACCGAGGACGACGACAAGCTGCGCATGGTGAGGCACTTGTTTATGAAAGGACCGATGGTGATATGCAAAGTTGGCACCTGCGTCAGAAGTGACATGTCGACCAGTGCCTTGCACTGTGTCATGAGTGACTGCCTGGCGCTTTCTTACATGACCTAGCAAGGCCTCACGTCCAATGGCTTATCCGCCCAATTCCTTCCCATTACTATCCTGCACACCTTCTCACCTTTCAGGAGTGTGACTGGACCAAGCACCCTGCCGCATTCATCATCTCTGAGAATGTCAAGAAAGGTGTGCCTGTCTTGGTGGCGGCATGTGCATTTGGCTCCTGGCTTGGGAGGGGGCTCGGGTCTGTCTCGCGGCGGGCATAATCACCATGCAAACAAGAGCCCTGTGTGTTCATGGCAGGGCGCATATTCCACTCCCATGCTGAAACATTGGTTGTGGGCTTGGGTTGGCTGGAGCACACATTCCCTGCGTCACACACCCAAACACAGGTCATTATCTCGTGGCCAGGAAGGGACTCCCTCTGACAGACTATGGCGTGGTGTGCTCTCGCACCGCCAAGCTCCAGCGGATGGCAGAGTCAGGTTAGGCAATGGGGCGGTCGGGCTGGGAGCAGGGGCTGGGAGGGGCTGGGAGCTGGTGCATCCGAGGGTGCGTGCATACCATCCAGGGAGACACCTGGCACCCTCTTTGCAGGGGCCACGAGGCTGCACCCACGCCGCCTGCTGCCTGGGGCCCCCCGCCAATGTCCCGCGGAGGAAGATGCCCTGCAGCAGCCACCCTGGCCTCGCCCCTCTTTCCAGGGACCAATACTGCCTGCCCCGTGTCGCTGTCCATGGTGGAGGACTTTGAGGCCTTTGGCAAGAGGTTCCGCATGGATGTGCATGGCGCTCAGGGTGAGCAGGCGTGCTTGGGAAGTCAGGTGTTTGGGTAGGAGGGGGAGGGGGTGTGCTGGGGTTGGGGTGGGGCAGCAACACATGCAAAAGGGCTTGCTGGGCCCCGGGGTGGGTGAACGGGGGTGAGTGCAGGAAGTTGGGCATGGGGTGACGGAGCACACACAAGTGGCATGGCAGGGGCGTCATGGCGACGTGTGAGGAGGCTGCCTGGCGGGGTAGGTGCAATCACATCGCTGGGCAGGGGCATGCAGCACACCGCCCTCCACTCTTTCTTGCCAGATGACAACGAGCTGGACCTGGAGGACCTGCCCCCCGGCTCGACCCTGGAGATGTGTGCCTTGCTGGTGAGAGCCCCAGGGGAGGATGGGGAGGCCTGCGCCGGCCTGGCCGCCATGACTGACCGCAGCAAGCACGCCCGCCCTCGGCACGCAATGCGTGCCGGGTCATGACCCCCAAGCTCCTGCACCCTCCACTGGGATGCAGGGGAAGCTGCGTGAGCCCGGGTACGAGCTGGCGTCGCGTGGCAGGAGTGACATCTGGATGAAGGTATGCTGGAGGGTGGCGAGGGAGAGGGGGGCCTGTTCCATTGACAAGTGCCAGCCGTGTCTGGGCCCTCGTGACATGGTTGTGCGCATGCTTGTGCCCTGCGTTGCCATGGAAGATCGCCATCCAACCCCATGCGCATCCTCGCCCCTGAGCCCCTCACCCTGCCCACACTGCCGCAGCTGCCCCTGCTGGCCACCTGCCGCCTGCTGCAGCTGGTGCTGGACGCCGAGCGCCGCCTGGCCGGCCGGTCGCAGCGGACGGAGGAGTGAGGGCAGGTGTGGAGGGCTGCGGCGCGCCCCTCGGACACGGCGCGATGTCCACCTGTCCACCACCTGAGCACCGCCGCGCACCGAGTGCGGGGCATCGGTGATGGCCTCTTGGAGAGAAAATGCCCTCGTCTGGAAAGACCCACTTGCACTTGACATCACCCAGAGTGATCACACCACCGAGACCGGTGATCCAGCCCCCTGCATGCATGCCTGTGACTCGAACCTGAAGGCATGCGGGGTTACAGTGTGGCCGCAGCGGACTCATGCAGCGCCTGGCGCCCAGGGGGTCCCCCCACGCACCGAGGCAGGCAGGGGACGGGGGGAGCAGCCTGCGCCTGAGTGAGCAGAAACTCCCAACCCCAGCGCCCCACGCCGCCTCGCCCTCCTCACACCCCCTACCACCACCGCGTCGCCGCCTCACTCCAGCATGGCCGCCAGCGCGTCGTAGAATGCGGCAAAGTCGCGATCATGGTCTGCGGCCGCGGCGTGCAGTAGGCCTGCGTGGTCGGCGGGGACCAGGCCGCAGGCGGCCGCGTGGCCGATGGCCGCGTGTTCGGCCTCGCCCTCGGCGTGCACCTCCAGGAACTCCCAGGCACGCAGACGGCGCCCCGCCGGCGCCAGCACGCGCTCGTCCAGGTGGCGGAAGGCCTCCAGCTCCAGCCGCTTCTCCACGTCCGCCAGGTACTCGATGGCCAGGTTGTAGCCCAGCGCGTACGACGCCTTGTTGGAAGGGGGGGGGGGGGCGGGGGGCGGTCGGGGTTTGATCAGGGTCCCTTGTGTTTGGGGGGAAGGGAACAGACTGCCGCGCCGTGAAGCGGAGGTGCCGAGCGCCGCCAGGTCTCGCCATTGCACGCATACCATCCACTCCGAGCCTCCCAGCCGCGACTCTCCCACCCCAGGCCCCTGGACCGCCCCGCCTCGCCCCCGTGCACCTTCCCCGTGGCTGCCTGTGGATCCCTCCCCCCTCACTCACCCACCCACCCCTCCCCAAATCACCAAGACCCACCTGCTCCTGGGCGTCCCCGGTGCGCCCGCCACCCCCCAGAACATCGCGCATCATCTGGGAGTAGAGGATCGCCGCGGCGGGGGGGAAGCTCGTCGCCGCGGCGCGCATTGCCGGCTCCAGCGCCTCGCCCAGCAGGTCCTCGTAGAACTCGGCAAACAGCGCGCGGTGTGTCGCGCCTGCGGGGTGGTCGTGGGACAAAGGGCGTGTGAGACGGCGATGGAAACTTACTAGGTGGGCGGGTCGGCCGAGCAGGAGCGGCGCGCCCCAATCGCCACGGCACCGCCCTCCGCACCCCCTTGCATCAATGCCCACATCCCGCCTGCGACTGGCGCGAGGGCCGCCGCATCGTCACACCCCCCCCCCGTGACCACATTCCCTCGCTCCCCTCGTGACCGCGTTTCCCCCCCCTCCCCCCCCTGCGTCTCATCAGTCACCCTGGGGCTGGTCGGCGTGCAGCCCGTATTCCCCCGCCAGGGGCAGGATCAGGCGCTTCAGCGCCTCGTCGCGCGCGTGGTACCCGCTCAGGCCGATGGTGCTCTGAACCTTGAGCAGAACGGCGGTGAAGGCGGGGTTGAAAGACTCCAGGTTGAAGGCCAGCTCCAGCATGACGGGGCGCAGCTTGGCGGCTGAGAAAGGGAGGCAAAGGGGAAAGTGGGGGTGCAGGGTGGAGGGTACCTGGGGTGGGGGATGACAGGCCATTTTTATTGCACGCCAGCAGCGCCGATGGGATTGCCCTGCGGCGGCCTCGTGGTCCGAGGGGCCGCAAAACTCCCTCACTGCGGGGCCGGGGTGGCCTCATGACACATCCCACACACTCTGCCAGGGGTGCCGGCCCCGCCTCACCAAACTCATCCAAGGACAGCGCACGCAGGGCGGCGTCGAAGCGGTACAGTGCCCGTACGGAGTGGCCATGGTCCAGGGAGGACTGTGGCGGGAGGCGATGGGAGGGGCAAGGCTTGTGTATGTCCTGCGGTGGCACTCACTCTGTCGGCCCCGACATCCCAAGGCCCTGCCTGGCCCCGCCTCACACCTCCAATGCCCGAACTTCATCATGGCTGATCAGGCCAGGCTTGCTGGCGGGTACAACCGTCGCGGGGCATGGGGGCGCCTGCGTCGCGACGGCTCCAGCCACCGTCCCATGATCCATGGGTGGCGCCGGCCATGAGGATGCAAAACTCCTGCCCTGTACGGCGCATGAGAGTGGGAGCGGGTACAACTCATCCCGTCGTAGGGACCTTTTTAAGAATCGACTTATAAGAGTATCGTATATGCTTGTCCCGCACCTGGCCCCTCCTTGGTGAGAATGCCGGCGCTGGGGCACGCAGGGCGAGCGCTCCCCGGGTCCCAGAACGCGGGGATGCACCACAGGGAGCACATGCCGATGGGGCGAAAGCACGCATGGTGGCGAGGCTGGGAGGAATGAGGGGAGATGGGCTCCGATGCCGCGCAAAGCAGCGCATGGTGGACTTGGCGATCGCCTACGCCCAGGTGGCGGGTATACCCGACAATGACCGATAGGCATGAGCTTGCCTCAGGAATTTTTGGCACCAGGGACCATCAGTCTTCACAGCCGCATTCATTGGCGACCCATAACTTCTACATCCTGAAGTGCTGGCCATTCCGTGTTCATGATTGGGAGATGGCTCTCAGCGTCATACACTGCGAAATCTTTGCTATCTGATAGATCAAACGTATGTGGACTGCTCAGGTTGAGCGGCTCTGTTTTCTCACACAAATGAAAAGAGGGAGTGCAGCAATCTGTGCATGTTTTTCTGCTTGGTATGGCGCAGCCTCGAGCTCATCACAAACCGTGCCGTGCCCTGCTTCAGATGCATCCACTAGGCCGTACGCAGGATGAGGTGCACCCCGGAATCCGTAAACACAGGACCGCTCAGCCCTCCCACTGGCAGCGCAAAGGCAGCATCCTCAAAGGGACGCTGCATTGCGCCTCGAGGGAAGAGGCCCAGATCACCTCCGGCCCGGGCACTGTGACGTGCGAATGGGGTTGTGCTGGAACTTGGCATCGTGGTGTCTTGCAATGTCCATGGCTGGGTCTACCTCGGACGATCAGCAGGCCGCGGAGCGTCCCAATCCGCCCGCCCAAAATGTAAGTACCTGCTGCAATGGCTTTCTTTGCGGGCGAGCTCGGCAAAGTCTGCCTGACCAGACGTCAGCTGGCGGTGGAATTCTGCAATCATTGACTCCGCTTCCTCCCTGCTCCTGGTGACCTGGGCCTCCTTCCAACTGGACGGGCGACGAGCGTCGCGGTGCTTCACCAGCAAATGCGAGGCCCTCACCTGATCAGGAGCCATGGCGGATTCAAGTCGAGATAAGATGGCCGGCGAATAGCGTGGAAGAAGTAGGGCTGCACCAGCTGAGCTGGCGAGTCACGAGAGCGGAAGTGGGCAGTTTCTAAACGAGGTCAAGATTGCGCATGCTGCGGCTCGTGCGAAGAGCATATCACGCGGCAGAGCGCACATGATGACATCCGTCCCTGCTGGAAACCCCTGGAATTCTCGCTCACATTGAAGATATACAATGTATAGGTACACATGCGGCAGCGCCCTATCACTTGTGGTGGCAGCAGTACACTGCCAATTCCCCGGGGTGCAGCCCAGGTCGCATGACAGCTTCAAAACAGAAAGCGAGAATTGATCCACGGCCCAGGTGGCCCTTTGAGACGACGACCCCGCTGGTAGCTTCTCTCAAATCTTCTCCAGATACCAAAGCAGCGCCAGGCCCCCAAATATACAGCCACGACAAAGAAATACCGTCAAATATGCTTTAAACCTCGTGGTTGTCGGAACCCACCGCATCGAGGATCGAAGTACATATCCGAGCCGCCCAATACTCGGCTTCCTGGCTCGTGTGCTCCGGGGTACCACCTCTTGTTGACAGTGGGCGTCGTTGTCACACACTGCGACAGAAAATCTTCATACCTTCAACATTTTCTGTAACATATACAGTTTGTTGTATTTGGCTGCATCGTGGGCAGGCGCAGTACAAACACTCCGAGGTGCGAGATTCAAAGGTACACACTTAGGCACCGCATTTCTGTGTCTCTGGACGCTGAACGCGGCTGTGCACGGTCTCACAAATCTTGCTTTATGGCCTTGGCGTGGTTTGCGTTGAGAGTTTTTGTGTGACCACCACGTTCCCCTCTGAGTGATAGTACCGCGGAAGTGCCTGCTCCTCAAGAGTCGCTTCTCGCGGGCGTCCCCAACCCTGCGAGTCGTGTACGGTTGACGTCCCGCATATACCTTCATACAATCCATCTTGCCCAATGCAGTGGCTGGACCTTGTCTCGTCCGGAGTAGGTCGATCTCCTTCCGGGCCTGAAAACGGAACGTCCCCCCCCCGGGTGCGAGGGCATGCGACGCTTCGTCCGGCCCGTTTCGGTGTCTCACTGGCTACATGCGCCTATATGCACCCCCATGTGACTTTCACGCCTTTTCCACTCCCGTGCAGACCTCCCAGGGCAAGTTAAGATCATCCCCGCACTTTAAGGAAGCTACCTGAAGTTGCCTTTCAAGCCACGGTGAAACTCCCTCGCCATCTCATCCAAGGGCTCGCACGGCGGCACGCTCCCCCCATACGGTAAGCTGGCCCCGGCGACCGTGAAACACATCTTCTCGCGGCATGTTACGATGATGTCCTCGCTTCCACACCTGTCGCATGCTGCGTTTGCTCGACAGATCCAGCCCCGCACTCAGTCACGGCGGCCTTTATCGCGCAGGTGCACCCCCACAACCTCGAACCTGGGTATGGTGTGAGGTGCGCGGAGATGAGCAACGAGCCCGGGTGCCCGGAGAGGTCTCCGGCGCATTCTCGTGGCTCTCATGGCACCACACCCGCCACCCCCAGCACTGGCCTCCTTCACCCTGACTGGTTGAGCTGCCTCTTCTCCCTCTCGATGTTCCACCCCTGCCCCCGCCACCCGGGTGTCAAGCGCAACGAGTGCAACTTCTTCTGTGCCCGTTGCTCACCGCGAGAGGGGCAGGCCTACTGCCGCATGTGCCTGGATTCGCACGGCGACTGCCCGGGGCCCGTCTTTCAGATCAGGAAATACATGTACCAGACGTGCGTGCACGTGGAGGACATCGCCCCGCTCCACGACGTCACCGGCATCCAGGCCTACCTGATCAACTCCAAGCGGGCACTGCTCATCCACTCCAAGATCTCCGCCCTGGCCTCTGCCAACTCCGCCCTGGATGAGATCTGCAGGTGCCCCCTGTGCCTCGTGTTACTGGGACTGCCTGGGTTGGGAGGGCACGAGATTGGATCCAGACGGATGGGCTGTCCCCTGCACCCTCCCCTTTCTAGGGCTGGGTGCCGTCTATGTGACTGTTCGTGCCCAGATCAGGCCGGCGGCCCGTGAAGCTGATTCCGCCCCCCCCACTGCCGACGCTGGTGCCCCTCGTCCCTTGACTACCCACCCTGGCCCAACATCTTCTCGATCCGCCCTGCCACCCCCCTCGCCTTCCTCGAGTGCCCCTCCCTCAGCCCCCCCTTCCCCAACCCTGCCACTCCCACAGAGGCTGTCAGCGTCCCCTTCGCTCGGACTGCCAGTACTGTTCGCTGCACTGCAAGAATGTCGCCAACAGCAACAGGGAGTCCAAGCCCCCAACCCATTCCGCCAGGCACCTCCCGCCGGCCTCTCCGACCCCGGCCTCGCCCCACCCCGCCGCGCTCCCGGCCTCTGCGGCCCTCCCCTCCCGTCAGACCGCCTTCCGCCCCGTGCCGCGACGGGAGCCCACGGGGGGGTCCCCGCCCGTGCTGCGCCCGGTCCCCCTCCGCCGCGGGGTCGTGCTGGACCTGCCCTCCCCAAACTCTAGGCCATCGCTGCTGGTGCTGCGGCGGGGCGGCGCCGCGCCGCCCCAGCCCTGGGCGGAGCGCCGCGATGCGCTCGCCCACCCCGCCCTGCCCCGGGGCCCCATGGCCTTCTCGGGCTTGCCCCAGCAGATGTACGATCCTGGGTGTCAGGGCCACCATTGCTCAGGGGAGGGGCCTTGTGGGGATTGCTTCTATGCAAGTGGCTCATGATCCGCTGCGTCGGCACTCCCTGCCAGGCGCGGGAGGGGCAGGCGCGGGAGGGGCCGATCGGACTGTTGCGCCACGCAGCCTTTGAGCAGGGCTGGGAGCCTGAAATTATAGCCCACCCCTCCAACCTCACCACCTCGCCCCCTCGCCTCACTGCAGCCGGGCCAGCAGCCTGCACGGCAGCCACCACAGGCCGCATGCGCTGCAGCCGTGGACCGTGAGGGGCGGCTTCCAGCCGCGGCGGTCCCAGGAGCTGGACCCACAGCAGGAGGACGAGGCAGGTTTCATGTCAGCGCCGCGCCAGTACTGATGCCTGCGTCGTGGCAGCCCGAGTCCGAGCCCTTTATCTTGCCGGGAGCCGGCTGCCGCCTGCAATGGCCGCCGCACAGGTGCCCCCCCTTCCTCACCTTCAGCGTCGGCTTGCTCCGGATGCACTCCACTCTTGCTCTCTCCCCTGCCTCACTTGCAGCAGCCAGTATTGCTCCATCCTTGCATTGAGATACCTCAAAGCCGCACATCGCTTGGCCTTGGCGGGTCATAACACCATTTGGTTTATTCCCTGTCCCCCAGACGCCATTTCATTCCGTACCGCCTCCAGTACCCAGCCTGAGTGCTGCATCCCGCTTGCACAGACAAGCAAGCAGGAGCTGCAAGGGGCAGCCCTTGCCACTGGTCAGCCTCCAAACAGGGAGACATGGCAGCTCCTGCCGTGATAGCAACCTGTTTCAGGACCTGACTGGCAGCGGCCTCGTGCCTCCCTTGTCTGGCCAACACGTCCACAGTGGCAAGCTTGAGCTGTCCCACACCTCCTGTTGGCCCCATGCATACACAGCTCCTTTTACCCAAACTGTCTGATTGCACAAGATGAATTGCAGTTACTGCTCTGAGCGCCAACGAGAGATGTACAGCAGCAGCGAATCGCGGAGGAGGGGGGTGGGTGGGTGGGGTGTCAACTCACTCATGCGTGAGCACATGGTTCTTGAAGGGCCTCAGCACCACCTTCCCAGCCCCAGGTGCCATCTGGCATAGGAGCCAGGCGTGCATGCATTTCTCCACGCAGCAACCCCTTGAGCAGCTGGGCAGAGATCACATGGCCGTATGGGAGGGAGATATAGTACTGCCTGTCCCCCTCGACATCCAAGGGGAGGAGGGCCGCCTCCCTACCACCCAGCCAGCTGCCGTGGTGGGGTAGGAGCAGCCGTCCAAGGTCCACCGCCCTGTCCTGTTGAGTTGGAAAGTTCAAAGGAACCAAACATATTGTGTCTTGCCCACTGGGCTGGCGAGGTGAGGATGTGGGCTTCAGGCTCTGTCAATCGCCGTGCATGGAGTATGGGCAGGGTGACAGGTACTACAAGCAACCATCCGATGCTGCTTCTCTCTAAACCCGCCACACCTCTCGATTGCCCCAAAAGTCCATGGTGCTGAAGAGGAGGCGTGGGGGCATGTTCCCGGCCGACGGGGGGAGTATGGCCAGTTCGCCGACATACCTCCTGCTAAAGTACCAAAGGGCGCCTGATGTGGCGCTGGCTCCAAAAAGTAGACCCCCGGCTGCCAATGTTTGCATGGTCGTACTTTCAGCCTGTGCGAGGGCAAGGGCACTCGTGTCCTCGAGTATCTTTCATGCAAACGATCTTTTCCAGTCACAGCCATATGTGGTGCTGGTGCACCAGCACTGTGAATTCAGGATGCCTGACAAGTGCATTTTGATCTGCGAGTACACACACTCCTCCCCCCCCCCTCGCCAGACCGTCACCTGCCGCAGAAGGGTGGCTAGTAGAGCTCCTGTGGCACCCACGCCACACATCTGAGCCACCTTGAACCTGACCAGTATGCGAAAGAGGAGCATCCCCGGGCCCTTGTACAGTACCACCTTGGTGCCGGGGGTCGTAGGGAGGAGATCCAGCCACTCCGGCTGCTGCTCCCTGCCCGGGGGTTGCCGCGGTCGTTCCGATGTTGAGGGACTCCACGACCCTCCTGATGTGAACAGAGAACGTCCATGCTGCCATGGTTGCCCCGATGCCCGGCTCTGCAGCCCTCGATGTGCAATGATGCAGGTGCTGCAGGACCCAGTCACCTCCGGGGCCCGTTGCATGGATACGTGGCACTCCATGCACCCCTGCCCCGTCACGAGAGCCCGGTAGAGCCAGACATGATCCGCACATGGCTTGCACAGTAGTAGGCCGGCACGTCGAGCACCCGCCTGCATTGCAGGCTAGGTGCGCCCCGCGCTCGGGCTGGCAGGATTTCGCGCTGGTTGTTCGTGGTCCAGGTCCCTGCGATCTGGCTCAACACAGTGTCCATTCGCTCATCAGTCATGCTTACAGAGCTGTTCTGCCCCAACACTGTTGGAGACTGGGGTGTTTGGGCGCCGCAGCGTTGGCGGTGCCCGTGTCGCGCGCGGGACAGGGCTGCTGGCCCTCCCTCACAAGACATATCGACTGAGGTCCTGTTTCTTCAGCAGGTCCTCCAGCTTCTTCACGATGTCCTCCCGGTCCACCACCACTTCCATCGGTCTACTCCCGGAGTCCGTCTGCACGGAGAGAGGGTAGGAGAGGGAGGGGATCTCTGTGCCAGATCCCCTGCTCATGATGGAAGCATGGAGCGACCCAGCCGCCCTGACCTCCCTCCTCTCTGGGGGCCCCACCAGACGACCCCCCCCCACCCCCATCGAGGGCATCCCTCGCGCATTTCCCTCCACCCACCCACCCCGCGCGCACCAGCTCCGGGGCCTCGAAGGACACGTCCTCCACGATGCGCTCGATGATGGTGTGCAGGCGCCGCGCGCCGATGTTGTCCACGCTGGCGTTGACCTCCTCCGCGGTGCGCGCGATCTCGCGCACTGCCGCGTCGGTGAAGCGCAGCGAGATGCCCTCCGTGGCCAGCAGCGCCGCCTGCCGGCGCAGCATGTTACTCTCCGGCTCTGTCAGGATACGGTGGAAGTCGTCCTGCCTGTGGCGAGCGGGGGCGGGGGTGGGGTGGGGTGGGGTGGGGGGGGTTGATAGAGAGGGATAGGGAAGGAGTGGAAGCAGGCCCAGTGGACCCACACACGTTTTCAAACGCGCCCCTTTCCTCCCCTCCCCGCAAGTCACTCCCTCGCCCCACCCCCCTCGCTTCACTCCACAGCATACCGTTGGCCCCCCTTCCTCTCCCCCCCAGCTCCCAGTAACACACATCTTCACTCACGTGAGGCCCTTGAGCTCCACGCGGACGGGCAGGCGGCCCTGCAGCTCCGCCATCATGTCGGAGGGCTTGCAGGAGTGGAAGGCCCCCGACGCGATGAACAGCATGTGGTCGGTGGACACGTTGCCGTGCTTGGTGGAGACCACGCTGCCCTCGATGATGGGCAGCAGGTCGCGCTGCACGCCCTCGCTGGAAGCGTCGGCGCCGTACCGGTTCTCGGCCGAGGACACGATCTTGTCGATCTCGTCGATGAACACGATGCCTAGTGACACGTGGGAGGGGACGGGGGGGGGGGGGTGTTTGAAGGGGGTCCGAGGGGGTCGAGGGGGTCCGAGGGTTTGTGTGGAAAGCACTGCCTCCTGCCACCCTGGCCGTGCTCGTGTGGTGCGCACCGGGGGAACGGGGGGGGGGGGGGGGTTACTGGTGGACGCGGTGCCCCAGCCCCGCACGCACACCCCGGCTGCCGTGAGTGCACGATGGTCCCACACCGCCCATTGTCAGGGGGGGCCGGCCGACGGGCCACCGCCGCCTGCCCTCCACCTCCGCCTCCCTGGTCTCCACCCCTCCCCTCGCCCTCTGCCTTCCTCCCCACCCATCCCTGCAAACGCACCGTCCTGCTCCGCGGCGGCGATGGCGTCGCGCAGCACGACCTCGCTGCTCACCAGCTTCTCGGCCTCCGCATCCTCCAGCAGGGGCCGCGCCTCCGACACGCGCATGCGCCGCTTGGAGTCACGCCCACGCCCGAACAGCTTGTCCACCCGGACCACCATGTCCTGAGGAGGGTGGGGGGCGAGGGTGAGCGGGGAAGGGGAGTGGGGTGGTGACCTGCAGGGGACGACGGAGACCTGTTTGGGCGCAGCGGGCGCATCCGCCCCCGGCCAGAGGTCCCGTCCGAGTCCGCAGCAGGTGCCCGCCACATGGTGCACTCCCCACCCCAGCACCCCTCTACCAAAACACTTGCCTGCATGGCCACCCCCCCCGCCTCCCCCAAGCCGCCCAGGATGCGGGCGGGGCTGCTTGGCACCTCGATCTCCACCATGCGGTC